GGCCCATTCAACCTCACTCCTCAGGATGTCTGGTTTTAATTCACTCACCACACCATCAAAACTATCCTTGATATTATTATTCTTCCTATAGAGATCTTTTGTATAGTCTCGCCACTTTCTCTTGATCTCTTCAGCTTCTGTTAGGTCCCTGCCATCTTTGTTTCTTATCATGCCAATTTTTGCCTGAAATTTACCTTTAATGTTTCTAATTTTCTGGAAGAGGTCTCTTGTCCTTCCTATTCTTCTTCCACTTCCATGCATTGCTTGTTTAATCATAGTTCCTTATCTCTTCTGGCTAATCTGTAGAATTGTGCATTTAATTGGGCATATCTCCCCTTATCATGGTTCCCTTTTGCTTTCCTCCTTTCTTGGGCTACTTCCAGTATCTTAGCAGACAACAATTTTGCCTTCGTGCTTTTCTTTTTCTTTGCAATGTACTTTGTTGCCGTCTCCTAAAAAATGTCGCGGACTTCTGTCCATAGTTCTTCTGGGACTCTATTTACTAAATCTAGTCCTTTAAATCTGTTCTTCACTTCCACTGCATATTCGGTAGGAATGTTAGGGATATCATATCTAAGTGGTCTGTGTGTTTTCTCTGATCTCTTTAGTTTTATTCTAAATTGAGCAATAAGAAGTTTGTGATCTGAACTACGGTCAGCCCCAGGTCTTGTTTTCACCAACTGGATGGATGTCTGCCACCTTTGACTGCAAAGGATGTAGTCAATCTGATTTTGGTGTTGACCATCTGGTGAAGTCCATGTATAGAGCTGTCTTTTAGGTTGTTGGAAGAGAGTATTCGTTATACACAGTGAGTTTTTCTGTCAGCCTGCGTCCCGCTTCATTTTGTTGTCCCAGACCATGCTTGCCTGTGATCCCAGTTGTCATTTGACTTCCCACCTTGGCACTCTAGTCTCCTGTAATGAAAATAATGTCTCTTTTTGGTATATTATCCAGTAGGTGCTGCAGATCCTCATACATCTGATATACTTCTGCGTCTTCAGTAGCTGTGGTTGGGGCATATATTTGGATCACTGTAATGTTAAAAAGCTTTCCTTGCACTTGAATTGAGATCATTCTGTCATTTTTTTGGATTGTATCCAAGCATTGCTTTAGCAATTTTCTTATTAATTATGAAGGCTACTCCATTTCTTCAGTGTTCCTCTTGTCCACAGTAGTAGATCTGGTGGTCATCTGATGTGAAGTGGCCCATTCTGGTCCATTTGAGTTTGCTGACCCCCAGAATGTCTATCTTTAGTCTTGACATCTCACCAATAACAACATCCAGTTTGCCCTGGCTCATAGATCTTACATTCCTGGTTCTTACGGTGTGTTGATCTTTAGAGCATCGGATTCATCGTTCACCTCCAGCACAGTTGGCTGCTAGCCTTCCTTTTGGCTTTGAGCTAGCTGCGTCATCACATCTGGGGCTAGTTGAACTTATCCTCTGCTCCTCCCCAGTAGCATTTTGGCCATCTTCCAACTTGGGAGCCCCATCTTCCAATGGTATACCGACATATCTCTGGTTGTACTGGTCCATTTAGTTTTCCTGGCAAGAATACTGGGGTGGCTTGCCATTGTCTTCCCCAGGGATTGCGCTTGGTCTGACCTCTCTGCCACGACCATCCTTTCTTCATGGTTTCGCTCGTGACATCATTGAGGTGCTCAAGCTCCAGTGCCATGACAAGGTGGCAATCCTTTGCTGGAGTGTGTAACCTTATCCCACCCTAAATTTCTCCCATTTTTGTCACTTTTATTTCGCTGGCATAACAGAGTCCTGCGGAGGTCTTCCCACAACTCACAGGCACTTCTTGTGGCTATGCATTGAAATCTGTCTCACCAGTGTGCGAAGATGGTCAGAGGAGTCTGTTTCCACCAGCTCCTGATAGAAGACAGCAGCAGGAAGAAGAGGAATGTGGGAAGGCATTGTGGGATGGCTGGCTGGCCATTCAGAAGATATATCACACTGGGGTAGGTTGGGTCCCTACTATTAAGGACGCTTTCCTCCACTTCCCTCCCAACATCCCTCTTGCCTGTTGGCTAAGGCTCAAGGTGTGCCTGTCTGAATCTGAATGCATGCACATGTGCACACACAGAAATAACATCTCAATGCTGTGTATTTTTTCAATTAAAAAAGAAGAATCATGCTCATGGACCTCATCTACACTGGCGATTTAATGCAGTTTCAAACTGGAATGGAAGAAAGCAGTTTAGCTGTGCAGATGATTACATAGGAAAAGCTGTAACCCATTTAAGATTCTGATTGGGGATTACACAAACTACACAGTGCTCATTCTTATTAAGTGTTTAATTTCACTCACTCTTCTGGGAGTTTGTTGTTTGGCTGCTGAGAGGAACCCTCTAACTGAAGAGGGTGTTTACACATGTATGCATCCTACACATATGAATCTGCACATGAATGTGGCTCCATTAGGCTGGCACCAATCTAGGGGACAGGGCTAGCCAGTGCCTCCTTGAAAGTCCTTTCACATAATTGGTACACATACCTGAATACTGCTAATATAGATGTTCTAAGCATACTAGTAGTAAGACATTTACAAATGCCAATATTATACAGCTATTTTCAGTTATTTGATTGTCATGTTCTCATTTTGTGGACTGTCCTTCAGTCTTAGAGTGTCCATCAGCGTGCCATTTGCTGCTGTCTAGAGACACCTAGGTGTCAATGGAAAGATATAATTTCAAAAGTGATGCTGGTTTTCTTTCTTGCTGAAAAATATAAGCCCTGGAAATTGTCCCCAAGAGGCGCCTATGAACAGACTTAATGTGCCTTGAAAGTCATATTGAGATATGTGAATTCTCTCCTGTCATATTTTTCACAAGGACAAGAAACATCTCAAGAGCTGGACCAAGGAAGTTGGATTTTTTTGAAAAAATATTAAAATGCATGCATAGTTTTCAGGTGCTTGTTAAAACTGAATTTCCTATAATGCAATGGCTTGCTACTTCATCACACTAGAGAAAAAAATCCACTTAAAATCTGGTTTCTGCCTTCTGCAGAATTCTGGGGTTTGTAGTTTAGTGAGGTTGTTAAAGGCTATTCACACCCTCTTTGGTGCACAGCCAGGCCCACACTTGGGAACAGACAATACAGATTTCTCAGTGGCCATTCTCAGGCTCTGGAGCTCACTTCCAAGGGAGACTTGGCTGACCTCCTCCTTCCTGTACTTCCGTTGGCACCTGAAGACCTTTTTACACAGTTTGACCTTTATGCTGGAATATGGCTGAGACAGGCTATGATTATTTGGATACTGCCCCCCTTTTTTTAAATGGATGTATTTTAAAGTGTGTATTCAGGGCATTTGCAGTGGACTGTGTCTATTCAACTATCTTCTGAAACAAATAACACCAGCATTCCATATGTCATGGTTAAATGTAAGAATCCTGGTGTACAAATCTATTGTTTAGTATGACATGGATAAACTGAGCAAACAAGTAATGCATCAAAGTTATGAATAGCCTAAAATGATGCTTAAAAGTAAAGGCATTCAAACAATGAACAATTTTCAAGCCTTGTTATATACACTGGCATAATAAAATTCTGTTCCTTGTATAAAATGGCAAAATCAAGGTTTGCTTTTTGGATTTCCTTTTCTAGAAAAAGTAAGCTATGTCTGATTGAATTTGTGGATCGACTGAGCTGCCTGTATTGCTTTAATGCGTCCCCATGGCCTCTGGATCCCAAAGCATGTTGGATGGAACCCTATTTGAACACTATGCTGGTATAAAATATGTTGCAAAAATGGTTGTAATATAATAACAATAATATTTTTTTTTATTCTGGCCTATCTCCCCAGGGGGATGTTAAAGGTTGCATAAGTGTAATCCTTCGTCCAGCCAACCATTCTGCAAACTCACATAGCCCTTTCTAACATAGTTGACTTTGTGGCTGGGAGAGCTAATTCATGCTGCACAACAGGCGGATACAATTCTATGGCACTCGTGGCATGATTAGTTGTATACACCACTGGACCTGGTGTATTCATTGTATACATCACTGCAGCTGGTGTATGTGTATGATTTTGACCATTGTCTTACCAATCCTTTAACATCCAGATAGATAGTATATTCCTTGGAGCTTTTTACTCCTTAATATCATTACAATTATAGTCTCACAATGAATTATCATGGTATGCATTAAGGGTAGGACTTGCTCCACTTTGTGTGGTTTTGTACTTTGACACTGAAAATGCTGAAGTTAAGAAAGGGTGGCATTTGTGCCTAATAAACTAGGCATAATTCAATAATATTAAGCACATTATATCATCAGCAATAAATTGAGCAAAATAATAGTACCACTTTAGTAGTAGGAGTAGGAGTAGGAGTAATAATACTGTGTTTATACTTCCTATCTCCCCAAGGGGACTCAGGGTGGTTTCCAGGGAAATAATATAGTGGCAAACATTTAATGCCAAAAACAATGAATAACACTGAAAACAACAAATAATAATCTGCTTTGGTGAGATCTGGAATGTGTCTAGAAGAGGATGACCAAAAATAGTAAAAAGTCTGGAAACCATGTCAAACATGGCATGTTTAGCTTGAAGAAGGCAAAATTAAGAGGGGACATGAAAGCCATGTTTAAATACTTGAAACTCTGTCATATTGATGATGGAGGCCACTTGTTTTTTTACTGCTCCAGAGAGAAGGACACAGAACAATGGGTTCAAATGATAAGATAAGAGATTCCACTAAACATTAGGAAGCATTTCCTGATTGTAAGAGCTGTTCAGGAGTGGAATACATTGCCTCCTGACTCTGTTAAGGTCTCCTTTTCTGGAGGATGACCATTTATTGGGAATACTTTGATTATATATGCCTGAACAGTCTGGGGTTGGATTGGATGGCCCTTGTAGTATCTTCTGATCTTATGATACTGTAATCTTATAGCATAAGAAAATGCACCAGATTCCAACCAAACCTGGAGTATTGTAGTACATAACTTGTTAAAGGGAAAATAAGTAACGCCCTGCCCGACTTACCAGGCAGGGAGGTTGAGGCGGCTGGCACACCTCACCCCCTATCCTCTCTTTGGGGTTCTCCTTTCTAGGAGCCCCCATGCTTTGTGCTTTTTGGTGCACTCAGCCGGGCAGCCAGTCAGGGGTTTACTCCGGCCTGTGCCCGGATCAATTGCAGTGGGGCCCGCTTTGCTCTGCTGGTCCAAAGTGGGGCAGACGAGGGCTGAGGGCATTCCTCCCACCTGAAATTGTATCATTGTATGAATTATTGTTCAATTAGCATTTTCTTTTGTCACAACTTGTGGGCATGAGGCATGAGCCCTGGATCTGGTTTGCGTACCTCTCCCCTTTATTGGTGGGAGAGGAGTGTTCTGGTGACTTAGGGGTGCAGCAGTAATGGTGTCTTAGGCTGGAATTGATTGGCTCACTGCCAAGCACACCCACTATTGGTGTCAGCATCAGGCTGTCCGATTCTTGATCCAGGACCCATGCACAGCTGCCAAACCTGTTTCTCATTGCAACCAATAAAAAGTTGTGGACTTTGGTTATCCCAAGCCAGGCATGTAGCCGGGGGGGGGGGGGGGCTTCCCCCCCCCCCCGAAATTCTCATGGTGGTCCGCGAGAAGGCCTTACTGGTACATTATTTAAACTGTTATGTTTATTCATAGCATGATCTGATCACCATGCTCAATATATCCCATATGCATGGGGGTATTGGGGTAACGATACAAAAGGTTTGCTAGGGTAGACCCTCTTTCACTCAGACTCAGCCCCCCACCCCCGAATCAAACTCAGCTCCCTCCGAAACAAAATCCTGGCTACGGGCCTGTCCCAAGCCATTGTATCTGTCTTTCCTTGTGAGTTCCTGGTGGCAGGGGGTGGTGGGGGGGGGGGGAGGTTTGTCACCAGGAACCCACAACAATAATTGCAGGAAATGCTGCCTTTTCTACGTATTGTGTTTCATAGTTTTAGCTGCAGGTCATTTCAGAACTGAGCAATCAGTGAGGAAAAATATATACAATAACAGCAATTCTTCTGACATCTGGGAAATATTCAGATGTCTCCCCACTGGTTACAGACATTAGATGCAGGCGTGTTGAATGACATCTTAACGTGGACATTTTCTCTATAAAATAATAAGGAACTTCCGTTCTCTAGCATGGATATTAAAGCTGATGGTGGCAGAAACATTTAACTTAATGATTCTATAATTTAAAGACATCTAGTATGTGATTCCTTTTGAGCATTTGTCTCTACCTTTGGCAGGTCGTAAGCATCCAGATGAAACCTATTTTATTTTATGGCATTAGACTATAAACATGAATTTTGAGCTTATAATAAAAAGAGTGAGCAGTATTCGTTGGTATATTATAAAAAGGATTGAGCAGACAATCATATTAAAGACAAAATGTTTATTCAGATGATGATTAAAAGGAATCAAATGACCCCCAAATAAACTATAAGTTTCATGGAAAAAGAAAGATTATATGATTGGAAACTGGCTATTAAAGCAATAAAACTGAATATCAGTTTTATAGCTTTGATTCAGACTTGTTAGTGTTAACAAAGGGAGATGTCATGATGCTTTTAGCTCTTTCTTAGCTGTCACCATTCACCAGTTATTCCACCTAGCCATAAAAGAGGGAGCAATGGGACAACTGGACTCATATTAAGTTGTGAATTTTAACCTGCATTTTATCAGTTGATTTTAACTTGTATTTTAACTCTGTGTATCTTGTTGTATTTTTTTAATAGTGTTTCATATCTTGTTTGAATGATGTTGTATCCCACCTTGAGCTGCGGGGAGAGGCGGGTAATAAATTCTTTATTATTATTATTATTATTATTATTATTATTATTATTATTTCGTTCACTGGGCTGAAAGTCAACTGCCATTTGTTTGTTCCCTTCCCTTAATGATTACCATTGTTCCTTTGCATCCATAGAGTCTGTGGCTGCTTCCACACAGGGAAGAAGTCAATGGGGGAATCCAGGTTGCAGGCACTTCCTTCTGTGGGATGGAGTCCCAGGTAAGCCAGCTTATCCTCATACACATCAGTAACTATACAACAGTAATAAACTAAATAGTTTTTCTATCTTCCATGACACTCCAAATTTGTCGCTGAAGTTCGCTGTCTCAGGATGTATCTATGCTGTAGAATTAACGCAGCTTGACATCATTTTAACAACCGCTGCTCAGTGCTAAGAAATCTTGGGATTTGTACTTTGACAAGGCACCAGCACTCTTTGGCAAAGAAGGCTAAAGATCTTGTAAAACGATAATTCCTATTATTAAAAATCTTTGAGCCATGGCAGTTAAAGTGTTGTCAAACTGCATTAATTCTACAGTGTAGATGCAACCTCAGTCTCCCTAACAATAGGGCCAGCCAGGGAATGGATTGCTGTAATGCAAACTACATGAAGCTGTCTTTGAAAACTGCTTAGAAACTGCAATTAGTGCAGACAACTGCAACCAAACCACTTTTGGAGGCACACTTTATTGGTCATACTACCCAGTGTTACTTCATTTACATTGTCTTACTCTTTCTTTTTGGGTATTGTAAAGGTTTCCCCTGACATTAAGTTTAGTTGTGTCTGACTCTGGGAGGTGGTGCTCATCTCCATTTCTAAGCTGAAGAGCCAGCGTTGTCTGTAGGTGCCTCCAAGATCATGTGGCCAGTTTGACTCCATGGAGTGCTGTTATACCCTTTCTGGGCATAAGAGAGCATTATTTTCATTATGATTTCAGTCTAGAGCAGAGACACATGTAAGGTCTTGTAACAATGTCTATTTTTGGAATTTAGCTCTGCAGCCTGGAGGCAGTGATGAAAGAGGAGGTGATGGCAGAGAAGGCAGAGATGAGAACAGATTGGCCACAGCACTACAGTGATCTTCACCAGTATGACACCTGCCACCTGTGTGGCAATGGAAACTATCGGGTAGCCAAGGTCCCTGCATAGCTGGAGGTGAGGATGAGACTAGGACAAATGGGATCGATACTGCTAATCCTAATGGGATCAGTAGAGCTGCCTTAAAATAAAGCTTAAAGGAATACAGAAAAAACTAAGAAACAGCACAAATCTGTAGAGAAGGGAGAAAAAGGAGAAAAATAATCGCAGAGGTGGAGGCAGAAGGATCCACACTTGTCTGCTGCAATGTATATGCAATGTTTGTCTTCTTGCCAGAAAACACCACCAACTATACTTGCAGCAAGTGCAAATTTGTGTCTCTCCTGGAAGAGAAGGTCAGTGCACTATAGCTACGTGTTGTGTCTCTTCAATGCATCAAAGAACAGGAGGACTTCTTGCATAGAACATAGGGGGAATTGATAATATAGATCCAACAGGAAGAAACCACCAAGGAAAATGGAGAAGCCTATAACAGCGAGGAAACATCTGGGGGAAAAGAAGGGATCCAAAATATTTTCAACTAAGCAATTGCTTTCTACATCTTCAGGAAGAAATATAGCAGTGAAGATGTTCAGAAAGGAAACCAGAAATATTAATATCGCATTCCAATGAAGCAGTCAAGATAGCCACCAACCACAAGGAAAAAAGAAAGGTGCTTGGAAACTCATTGCATCTGTGTTCCAGCCTGACAAGATAAATTGGGAAGTGTGCTGTTTTCCTGGTATGAACAATTTGCCATAACTTATCACAATCAATATTGTTATCCTTATTAAAATGGATACTAACAATATGACAATAATTCCTTTGAGCAGAAAACCTCTGACTATGAAGCTTTGGCAGGAAGCTGAAAGAGTTTCAGGTACGGACAGTATTCTCATCTATTCTGCTAGTGAGGGAAGATCCTACAATGCAATGACCAACTATGGTAGACAGGGGAGGTTTGCTTCTGGGATGGATGACTACTGGCTACTGATGGGAAGAATATAGTAACATGAAAAAGTCTCATCAAGAGGACTTTAAACTAAACCACTGAGGGGCTGGAGATGACAGATCAAACGTGAGTCCAAAAAAGGTTCTAAACACAAGTGAGTGAACTCTAGAAAAGAAACTGAGGGAGAGAGTGTGGTCCACAGAAAAACTGCTAGTAAAGTTGTTGAGATTAACTTCAAAATTCAGCAGCAGATCAGTTGCACAACTTCAGCGCTTTCCAGTAGCTTCTTCCTGCACAGTATTTTCAGTCAACTGCTCCCACAGCCTGCAGTCACTCTGGAACCTTTTACATACACTTGAACACATGCCCGGCCATTGTCAGTTTTACCATTGTCTTTCCCCCAGTCTAGATGATATTACAAACTTACCACAGCATACGTTATATCTTGTCTTTAATTACATATAGCCTTCAACGAACAACATCATAGCACAAGGAGAGAGAATACACTGTACATGACTTCCTTATATACAATTCTGTACATTTACACATAGCAATCTCTGATTGGTTCCCAACTCACTGACTTAACTCAAACCCAGGATTGCATCATTCACAATCACCTGGACTAGGCCAGAACACATTCCCCAAATGAAGTTCTATATACAGTTAATGCATGACTCAGCATTTCCAATAGAAGCCTATTAGCAGTGCATGACTCAGCTATATTACATTACAATACATTGTAAAACCTGACAAAAGTAATAAGTGAAAACAAATGTTAAAATGTTGTGACACCAAAACACAAGTGTTGGGAAACAAACAAGATGAGCTTGAAATCTTAGTGTAGGAATGTAAGTATGATTTTATAGGCATACTGGAGAACTGGTGGGATGACTCTCATTATGGGAAAATTACAGTTGAAGGGTACAATCTATTTAGAAAGGCAGGTGATGGAGGAGCATTATATGTCAAAGACAAATCCAGTTTTACAGAAATCCAAGAGAGTATCAGCATGGACCATTTGAGAGCATTTCAGTAAAAATTAATAGAAAAATAAATAAAATAAACATTGTGATAGCACTCTTGGTAGATGATGCTTTTCAGAAAATTTAAATTGTTTTGGTATTTTATGGGAGACTAACTCTGCTAAGCATAGATTATCCAACAAATCCTAGCCAATGGGGAAGAGTTGGTTGCTCAAATACAATTATCAGAATTCACAATTGTAGGATAGGGCAAAGAAGAGTATAGTCAAACACATGCCTTGGATTTCAAGAAAGCTGATGTTAAAAAATCCAGGGAGCT